TTCTACGGAAACCCTGAATCTCACAACATTTAACTTTTATTGATGGACTAAAGACCACTCATTCAATTATCAAATTTGCTACTTGGTTCTTGTATGTTGTAAGGGGCTCCACTGACCTGTCCTTTCACCTCACGACTTTTCCCAAACATCCTACTCTTAGTACACAGGCCCCTATTCAAACCAGGTTGTAGCTGAACTTGGCTAGCGTGGTTGATAATTAAATACAATACACTTATGAAAAATTGAGTGGACAAAGTGGGAATCTGCTAGTCCAGACCAACTAAGACTATTTATTGATAGTTCCTTTAACGGAAGTCTGTCTTTTGAACGTGGCACATAATATGGCCAACCTCGAGCTGCTATCAAGGTGAAAGCTATATAATTGTGGACAGCAAGAGGAATAGTTTTTTTTTTTATGAAAACGAATTAGAAGAAGAAGGGGGAATGGTGTTTTGTTTGGGATTTCTGGTGGAAACGACCGGGGAAGTAGATTCTCTTGTTCGACGTAACTTAAGTAGAATCGACCCATTCTTACCAATGTTTTTTTTCGTTCCTCTCTCTCTATTTTCACCTGTTTATACTTACAGGCGAAACCAGTTCAGGAAAGAGTACTTTGTTAAATCTTATCCTTGGAGAGCAGCTTCTTCCTTACGCCGTTCTGAGTACCACATCCACCATCTGTGAACTAAGATATGGAGATACACCAAAGCTAGTGGCGCACTTTAAAAACAAAGAATTAGGGGATACCACAAAGACTGTCGTCTTAGAAGAGCCGTCTGAAGCCTCCGAGCGGAGTTACCTTCAACAGATTTCCGAATTCGTCCACTTAAAGACGAACAGAGAAAGGGGCTCAGATTACGAAAAGATTGAGTTATTTTGGCCACACAATCTGTTGAAGGTTAGACATGAGCAAGCTCAGTAATTATTCGGGGTCTAAGAATTGACCTTAAGAAACATATTGTCGATGTCAGCAAGCTTAAGAATGTTCGTGCATGAATGTATTTTACGATTTATAACTGTCTTTTATATTCCTTTATAACTGAAATTGATATAAGGGTTGTTAGAGAAATTTAAAGTCTCCAAATTCCTAACTTTTCCTACATCATTTGCCATTCTGCAAAGTAACTCCTTGCACACGTTGTTATTTGGAATTTTACTCGGTTTTTGTCGCTATTTTGTCATAAGAACTGATTGTTGACATCTCAATTGGTTGTTGACATCTCAAACGAATAGTTACACACATCTCTTTTGATGTATCACAAATAATTGAGTGACAGCAGTATCGACTGAAAGTTACGTCCGACTAAATTCTGATGATAAATTCGGCTAAGAATGTCAAAATGTCACTTAAAAGGAGCAGATATAGAGGACGTTAGATTGAGAGTTGAGAATAATCTGGACTTAATCTCGCTCTGTGATCGGTCCAGAAAACTCATGCCAATTCATCAACCAATCACATTCAAAATTAAAACCAATCGCAACTGACTTGCGTTTTTCCCTGAAAAGAGTTGTTCGCTTGTTTTTTCTTTGGGTTCTCTGATTGATTGTTGTGATTACTTTGAGTTTGGTCTTATGACAACCAATCGAAAAGAGAGGGATCCCTAAGGTCAAAGGTCAAATCGCATATGTGATCTGCGGATTAAGAAATGAAAATGAAAGGGATCTTCGCAGTAATGAACACTACTTAACCAGTAGTGAAAATATGGTATCAAAAAAAAATTTAGGCCTGTACAGAGCGTGAAATTAATTTTTTTTCTGATAGCCACTTCGCTCCTAATTTTTTTGAAGTGGTAGCCAATTAAAAAAAAGTTGGTCGCCATTTTTAAAGACAAACAAAACCTTTTTTTAACGATGTCAGCGTTCTCGATAGGCCCTCCAAAATTAGGTTAGGTCAAAGATCTCTAACGTGCTACAAATTGGACACTAGGATGGATGAATTACAACGCTCAAGCTCACCCAAATCCAAGATGGTGTCTAGTCATCGATTTAGATGCTTGTGCTGCGTTTTGGAAACAAGCTTAACGAGGAAGTTTGCAGCGGCTTTATCTTTGCAAATCTTTTTAATTCACTTTATCTCTAATTAAGGTTATGACGAAGCATTCTAGTCGCCATTTTGGCGACCAATTTTCGGGATTTGTTCGCCAAAGTGAAAAATTTAGTCGCAGTGGCGCCTGTATTAGGCGCAATTTCACGCCCTGCTGTATGGGATTTGAAGATCGAAGATCGAAGCAAAGATCACTTTCGTATTCAATATTTTGCTAGTGACATCTCATATTTTACGTGTCTTTTAGGAAAATATTGTAATAGTTGACAGTCCAGGAATTGGCGAATCTACCATCATGGATGACATTGTAAAGGAGTACCTTCCGGAAGCTTTCGCATTTATTTACGTCATCAACAGTGAAAACGCTGGTGGAATACAGCGAGATAGGGTAAGGCACTTTAAAATGCGAAATGCCTTCTCATTGCAAAAATAATTAAAGGAAAAATGTGCTGCAAGACTCTTACAATTTTTTTAATCCTCTATTTTAAAGATGTGTAAGACTAACTTAACTGTTCAAAACTTTTCGTCAAATGAGCTAGAAGAAGGAACATAACGAACGTGAGTTGCTCCTGTAGAGCGGTTACGCGAGGTATGAAAGCGTTTAGAAAAAGGTAATGTCTGAACTAGCCAAAAAGAGTCGACTAATAGCTAATTCTGTGTCTTTGCCTTCAGGTAGAAAAGCTTATCGAACACGCCAGACAGATATCTCTTGACAAACAAAGGGAATCTTCCTCAAATTGTGCCCTATTCGTTTGCAACAAGTGGGACCAGGTGCCGTCAAAAGAATCTGACGAAGTTAAGAACTATGTAGTGACGAAGCTCACGCAGTGCTGGCCTTCTTTAGATCCAGAATCTCAGATCATTTATATGTCAGCAAAAGAAGCCAGTGAAGCTCAGAAGTTTGGAGTGGTCACGGAGGAGTTTGCTGAACTAATGAATGGTATCAAGTCCATGGTGTTGAAAAGTATTGAAGCAAGACTACAGATTCAGTGGAGGTAAATTGCTTTAAATCCTTAGCGACAAAATTATTATTCAAGAAGTTGCATCTCAGTTGAAAATGTCGTTTTAGTTCTGAGAATTGGAATGAAAAATATCCTTATTTTGATTGGCTGCGCGAAATGTATTTTTCAGGCAACAAAAGGCATAAGCCAAGGTAATAAAGTGCATAAAATGTTAACTCAGTGCGAAAAAAGGAAGAAACTCTTCAGCCTGGCTTTGCATGAATAAATATAGTGACGAAGTATAAAAGACAATTGAAAAAAAATTCCTTTATTCTCAGGTGGCTTGACTATCTTCTTGCACGTATGGCCCTCCACACGAAAGCGTTCATTCGTTATTCGTCCGAGGATCGTAAAAATGTGATAGATAGAATGAAGTTTATCACTGACCGCCTCCAAAGTATTGAGAGGCAGCAAGGTACAGTAAGCAAAGAGCTGCAGTCATACCTCGAAAACAAGACAGACCACGCTGTGAGTACACTGTCCAGATACCTTAAGTCTCCAGAAGTTATTGAGCAGTTTTCTTTGTGGACATTAGATGACGTTCCAAGTACTGAAGAAAGCTGGGAACTGACTAAGAGTTACATCCAAAAGGCGCTGATGAGACGACTTCAAGAAAAGATAGAGGAATGGGAAGAAAAGAACCATATCTTTTCCGATGCTCGCGCCTCTTTGATTCGATACTTTCAGGAGAGGTTCAGCTACGTCGAAGGTCAACTTCGGATGCTGGAGGGCTCTGTCCTAGCCGGAGATGCTGTCGGCTCAGGAAGTGACCCGCTGGCATCGGATGACTTTAGTGTCGCCGAAAAAGTCATCATCGGGGTCACAAGTCCAATTTGGGTTCCAGTTGGTCTGGTTGTCCTGGTGGTCAGTGTCCCGGTAGTTGGCGCCATAGCAGTTAAAGAGAAGTTAGAAAACTGGAATAAAATAAGACAGTACAACAAAGATAAGTGTGCCTTTATGGCGAAAGCTTCCCAAGAATATCTGAATGAAGCAGCTGAAGAACAGCATCTAAAGTCGTACGTGATGGAACAGCTTAAAGAAGCTCAAGTTTGTCTTAAGCAGGTCTTAGAACGGATCCCTCAGCTCATAGAAGAGGACAAAATGTTGTGTCAACAATTGAGAGATGAGAACCGTTCTAAGAAAGAAGTAGAAGATTTCTACCAACCGCTACACGAGAGGAGTGTAAAAATAAGGGATGAGATGGCCCTGTTTGGCATTAAAGAGGTTCGCACCATGGACATCAGTTGCGACGATTTGGAGTGGCAAGACTATGCACCTCTTGGAAAAGGAGCATTTGCTGCTGTTTATCGAGGGAAATTGAAGATGCGAGGAAAGGATAAACCTGTAGATGTTGCTGTGAAAGTGTGGAACGAGGAGCTAAACGAAGATACTGCTAGTGGCATTCTTTCTGAAGCTGAGATACTCAGGTTGGTTTTATTATTTTATGGATCTTGAAATGTTATATTGTTTATGAAAGAAGGCCCAACCTACCTAAAACCTTGGGGAAGCACTAAATATATTCTGGCCGGTAGCCAATGAGATAATTTCTTAATCGTAAAATTTCTTTTCTGTCCATGGATCTCATCGTAATAAGGGGATTTCTTTTAATTACAGGATATTTTTTTGACGCTTTCAGAACACCCAGAATCTAGGCACAGAATTTAAGGCACATCGGGATATTAATTAGAAAAACCTTTACGGGGAGACATATCACCATTCATTTTCCCAACAATTCATCACCCTTACAACTCTTAAGTTGGACTAGTGTCTAATTGCTCCGTACATCACCGCTGAATCAAGCATAAGGTCATGAAAATAAGGGATGTGATCACCAACAGCAGAACTCTTGATTGATAATCAAAATTTTCTTGTCAGTATTAGAAAATGTTTGGATGACAGCATAGAGAATAAGCATACTGTTTTATGATTGTAAGTTGTTTTACGGTACATTTTTTTATGTAGGAAACTGAATTATCCCTTTATTGTAAAGTTCTATGGTACAGCACTGCGCAAGGAAGGGGAGCGGCTGAAAGCAATACTGGTGATGGAGCTCTGCAAGGAAAACTTGAGGCACATTTTTCGGCATGAAGGTAATATACCTGGAAAATCATCAACTGCTACAGCTGCGAGAGATGTGATCGGATGGGCAAAAGATATCGCCAATGCTTTGGAATACATTCACAGACAAGGTATCGTTCACAGAGATCTCAAGCTGGAAAATATATTGGTGAGTTAAAAATTGGGACTAATGGTTATCGTGACTATTTATAATTATAATCATCTTCTTCCTTCTAGACTCATCTCGCACTTCATCGAATTCTAATTCGCTCGCTTTCACCTAGTTTTCCTGCTTTCTACGTGGGATACCTGTGGCAGACCACGCTATAAATTGGCTTGAGCGTCGTTGTAGTCAGATGTAGAAATTACCCGCGTGGTTCTGCTTCTCAATGAA